TGAAGGATAAGAAAACATTCTACAAATATATGAGATGCAAGAGGAAGACCAAGGACAGGCTAGGTCCATTGCTCAAAGAAGAGGGAAAAACAGTAACAGAAAATGTGGAAGTGGCAGAGGTGTTTAACTTTTGTGCAGGTTTTCAATAAGGTTGGTGGCAATTGGACACCTAACATAGTGAATGCTAGTGAAAATCTAGTAGGTTCAGAAGTTAAACTAGGAAAAGAACGAGTTAAAAATTACTTTAAAAAATTAGATGACTTCAAGTTACCAAAGCCTAATGAAATGTATCCTAGAATACTCAAGGAGTTGATTAAAGAGGTATCTTTAAAAAAAAGTCATGGAAGGCAGAAAAGATTCCAGAACACTGGAAATGGGAAAATTAAGCACCCATCTATAAAAAAGTAAATAAGGACAACCCAGGAAACTATAGACCAGTCAGCTTAACTTCTGTGCCAGGGAAGATAATGAAACAAATAACTAAGGAATCCATCTGCAAACATCTGGAAGATAAGGTGATAGATAACAGCAAGCATGGATTTGTCTAGAACAAAATCATGTCAAACTAACCTGATAGCATTTTTGATAGGATAACAATCCTTACGGATAAGGGGGAAGAGGTAGTCGTGATATACACAGACTTTAGTAAAGCATTTGATACAGTCTTGCATGACCTTATCAATAAGCTAAGGATATACAACATAGATGGGACTACTATAATGTGGGCGCATAACTGGCTGGATAACCGTTCTAAGAGTCAATGGTTCACAGTCATACTGAAAGGACATAAGTGGGATTCTGCAGGGATTAGTTTTGGGACTGGTTCTGTTCAATATCTTCATCAATGGCACAAAGTATGCTTATAAAGTTTGCAAATGATACCAAGCTAGGATGGGTTGCAAGTGCTTTGAAGGATAGGGTCATAATTGGAGTTGAACTGGACAAACTGAAGAAATGGTTTGAGGTAAATAGGATGAAGCTCAATAAGAACAAAAGCACAGTATTGCACTTAGGGAGAAAATGGAAAGTGACGGTCTTGGAAGGAATACTGCAAAAAGAGGTATGGGGGGTCATGTTGGATCACAATCCAAATATGAGTTAATTTAACTGTTGCAAAAAAAGCAAACATTCTGGGATGTATTAGCAGGAGTGTTGTAAACAAGACATGAGATATAATTCTTCCACTCTATTCTGCACTGACTTCAATTGGAGTACTGTGTCATGACACATTTCAGGAAAGATGTTGACAAACAAAAAACTCTAGAGAAGAGCAACAAAAATTATTATAAAGATTTAGAAAACATAAGGGAAGACTGAAAGAATTGGGTCTCTTTAGTCTGGAAAAGACAAGACATGATAGCAGCTTTCAAGTACCTAAAAGGGTGTTACGAGGAGGAAGAAATACATAAATAGTCTCCTTAACTTCTGATAGGATAGAATAAGCAGCAATAGACTTAAATTGCAGCAAGGAGGTTTAGGTTTCTGTCCTTCAGGGTGGTTAAGCACTGGAATAAATTGCCTAGGGAGGATGTGGAATCTCCATCATTGGAGATTTAAGAGCAGGTTAGACAAACACCTGTCATGGATGGGTCTAGGTTAGGGATAGGGAACCTTAGGCTCAGAGGCTAGATGCAGCCCCCAGCTTGCCTATATCTAGCCCCTGAGGCTCAGGGCTCCCCTCTTCTCCCAAGGGCCACGTTAGTGAGGGTTTGGTTGCTTCTCATTTGTTAGCAGCACCAACTCAAAAAAGGTTCCTTACTACTGGTCTAGGTAATACTTGGACCTGTGATGAGAGTAGAGGACTATACCTGATGACCTCGAGATTCCTTCCAGTTCTGTGACTCTACTTTACCCGAAAGCCTATGTGGCAGTCTAGACTGCACTTCAGTGTTCTGTGAAATACAATTCTGTCATATCTAAAAGCCTTTAATACTTTTAAATATGCCAAGTAAAAAAGTAAATAACTTGGAAGTATGTCTGTGGGGGAGGAGGGAATTAAAGAGGTAGAGAGACAGTAAGGAGACAAAAATCAATTTTTATAACTAAAATGTTCTCGTTATTCCAGGAATAAATCTATAATACCCACAAGATCTTCTAACATCTCTTTGCTCAATCTCCTGCTGAGGAAAAATGTGTTGTCATGACTCCATCGTGTGAGGTTTTCCTATAGTATCAGCATTAATGGGAAACTTAATAACCACAATCCTTTCTAGTTTCAGTGTTCTAGAAGATATGTCGGTATTATATTCTGTAATGTTTCTACAGTAGGGGGGGAAATGAACTTTATTATTATAAATTGGAGGGGGGGGGGTTAAGAGAAATCAAGCAAACACGAGACACCTGAAGCCCAGAGCAACGTGAAACTAAATTCTGCATCTCCAAATTCAGACTGGAAATTCTACTGCTGCAATTCCATTTAAATAAAATGAAAGAAGTTTTAACAACCCAGTATGAAAATTCTGCAGTGTAGTTGCTCTTATGTTATTTTATGCTGCCCCTTAGGTCTAGCTGTTGATGTGTTACTACAAAGACCTGTAACCCATTACAGATGTCTAAAAAATAGGCAGTGAATACCAGCACAAATTCTGTGGCCACATAATTAGGGAATACATAGAACCTTGTGAATACTTAAGGTTTCATCTGTATTTAAATATTACAGTCAAATTGTCTGTATTAGGCCCCAATTTTACAGCTCATTTTGTATAGGTGCATCTCTGTGGACTCTAACTGAAGCAAAGTCGCCTTTTTTCTCCCTTAACAAGTCATCTATTGAACATCCAGAGAGAGATGAGAACAGACAACGACATACTAAAGGAAGGCAGATTTAACAAATTCAAGTCTCAGGTACCTCCATCTATAGTAGAAAATCAATCAGTTTTTCCCAAAACAATCAGCAGCAACAGAGCCCTAAATCAATGTTACAATTCAGTTAAAAAAAAAAAAAAAAAAAATCAGAAGGGTTTTGGTCCATTACTTGTTCAAAAGTCAGTTTTTAGTGTAGCCAGGCTAAGGTCCTGTACATAGTCAGAACAACACTAACACGACAGTGTGATTTAAGACTGATTTCATCTGCAAACCAGGAAAAAAATAAATAAACCTGGCATAAAACAAATTAAATGTCTACACTATGTTTTGCAGTTATTTAAAAGTCAGTCTTGAAAAGAGTCACACATTTAATCTAGTACAATTCTGAACATAGACAAGGTCTAAGAAAAAAAGCCAAGTCTATATTTTATTTCGATTGTACTTTAGACACACAACAAATGAGGCAATAATAAGTTGTCAACTTCATTACCTAGAGTCACTTAATGTTACAGGTTCAAAAATGTTGCTTATGAATAAAGCACCATTGAGTATGACAGGTGAATCAAAAGAAAAATCCAGTGCATCTTCCACACTAGGGATGTTAAAATGCATATATTTAGGTAAATGTGTAATGGTTGAAAATTTCAGTGGTTAAATGTTTTCATGCAAGGGAAGGCGGCTCCCTATGAGCTGCGGGCCCCCAACCACACTGCAGAGCCAAGGGGAGGGAGGAACAAGCGGGGAGGTGGCTTAAAAGTGATGCGGGGAGCAGCGTGCAGGGAGAAATGGCTCCCAGATCCAGCTTAAAAGCCTGCTCCCCGCTCATACTGGTTCCAGCCTCCCCCATCCCTGCTGCTGCCTCTTGAAACAGAAGCAGCTGCGTGGGGAGGGAAAGGCTGAGTGTAATCATGTACATATTCATACCCCCTATTCCACACATCTCAGTTTTGAGAACCAAGATAGTTACTTAATCTTTAGTTTGTTTTAACTAGTTGATCACTGGTTTAAGTGTTAACATTGAAAAGATCAGATAAAGTCTCAACTGGCATTATTCCTTTGGGGGGCGGGGGGGAAGAAGAGTAATGTGTTTCAAGTGCTTACACAAAGAATGCTCAGAGGCATACAGCTTGATATGTAGTTGTGAAGATTCACTGTGCAAATGGAGGTTCTTTCAACAGTTCCATTGGCAACAGAAAGCATCTAACCTCACTACACTAAGAATCAACTGCTTTATCAACCTGAATGTTTGGTAGGTGTGAAGGAAACCATACAGCCAAAAAAGTAAGAGCTGCCACTTTCCCACTCCTAAATAGTCAGTTCTGTTAGCTGACGTAGTTTATGTAATAAATAGCTTCCTATTGCATATGAAATAGAAATAACTTTTAAGAAGATTGATAAAACCTGCATCTATCTATGCTCTCTCCTCCATATCACAATTCACTTGTGTAATGTACACAGACCATAAGATTGTTAGCATCTAATCTTTTTACTGATTTTAACTGCAGTAAAAAGGATTAATACTAATGTTTAAGAAAGTATAAAGGATATTTCCATTATCTTAAATAGAAAATAAAATTCTTCCAAGTTAGAAGTATATAAAAGAGTAGCCCACAAAAAAACTTCTGAAAACTTCAGCAAGCTATATAGATTTTAAATCTTTTTCCAACCAAGTATATATCTGAACACTGCCAAATATTTTGAAGTGTCTAGCAGAAAATGTACAGGGGAGGAGGGGGGAAGCAGAAATAGATTGTCATTCATTAAATGTTTTCAGAAAACATCAATGTTGCATCTAAACCTTTACCTCAAAGTAACCTAATAATTCACTGATAGTGGATACTAGTTTTATCCATTAACATGGCATCCAATCTGTGTGTATGAAAATGTTCAAGTAAACATAAAAAACCCAATTCTGTGAACATTCTTAAAAAAAACACACACGTACATTTCAGTCAAGTAAACACACTTACATTCCAACTGGAAATACAGAAATCTATTATTCTGTAAGAGTGAGACTTCTCTTTATTAAGCTTAGTATGATAAAGTGATTTTTTCATCCCTTCTAAAAAACCAAATCTTCTGTTGTGTATGGGATTGGGTTTTTTTGGTAAGCACAAAGAGGCAAGAGTTTGGCATGTACTAAGCTTCCCTACTTCTGTTTTATTGAAAAGAAATTAATGTTTTTGCATTCTTACCTTTTCACTGAAACACTCAAGCAAGTCTTGGACATACCCTCGCATTTCTTGCAAAAATTTATACTGTTCACCAATACCCCCAGAAGACCCTTCTAATCGTTCAATTGCCTTGGTAGAGTCCTCTTGGTTTTGTTGATGTTTCTCATGTTGCTGCTGATTGGCTTTGTGCAGTTCTTGCATTGAATCCAACCTGAGGAACAACGGATAGATAACAAATTTACATTGAAAAGTCTATATAATGCGAACTGTTGAGATATTAAACTGTTTCAAAGTGAGTGTGTGGAAGTACCAAATCTGTATAAGAAAAATATTTTCAAGATACATTCACTACCTGTAGTTTATCAATGCCTTCTCCAGGTTGTATCAGCAAGGAGCATAGTTAAGTTATGATGGGCTAGACTGCAAGGTGCTAAGTACAGTCAACTCCTGTTAATCCCAACAGGAGTTGAAGGTGCTTAGAACCTTTTAAGACAGTCTTAAAAAATTAAAACCAAAGGCATTATGCTATATCTAGCAAGAAATATAGTCTATAATGTGGCCTTTATTATACTGCACTGATTAGACTTATTTCAGCTAATGGAAAGTTTTTAAGACAAGGGGCATACAAACCAGTTTTGATGACACTAAAAAAGTGTGGGCTGTTAATTTTCAAGTATTTCTCACTGTTTTTGATACCTAACAGACTGAAATGTTTAAGCCCTAAAAAACTAAACAGATTTTAGCCTAAATGTAAGATATTTATGTATTCAAGAAAAAAAATGTGATTTACACACTTTATGAAAATGTTACTTGGTAAGCTAAACATCTCACTGTCCTTTCAATTCTTGACTACAAGATTTTTTTTTCAGTGTCCAGAAGCTGCAACTCAGATCTCTCTTCAACAAAATCAAACTGCCAAATTTTAAAAGCTTCGCTTCCACAGAAGAAATCCAGACTTTTGAATACATTTTCAATGTCATCTTCTTTGTGTTTTTTTTAAATGATGTGCCAAGTCAGTGGTTTTCCAGCGATGAAATTCTGCATTTGCTTGAGATTAAAGGATGCCTGAAGGAAGAGAAAGCTAGAGGACAAGTCTTTAAGTCTAAAAAAGATTGTCTGCCCTACCTGTCTTTAAGCTGTTTCTTTACCAAATCAATAGTAACAGGAGTCATCTCATTACTTGGAGTTTTGAAAGGAACTGTATTATCTGTTTTTTGAGACTTGGTCTCTGATGATCCATAGGCAGCATAAGTGTAAGGAATGCCATACGATGAACCATAAGGCATTGTCTGGTAAGAGTTCTGGTAGTACAGATTATTCACTTCAGTAGGCTGACTTGCTTGAACCTACAGAAATAAGACATGTAATACTCAAAATGATAATGACACTCCTTTTAAAAACACTGCTTTTTATAATTTAGTTTTGACATTTTATATGCAGAGGTAAAAATTCTTATAACCACAATACAGGCAGTCCCCGGGTTACGTACAAGATAGAGACTGTAGGTTTGTTCTTAAGTTGAATTTGTATGTAAGTCGGAACTGGTACATATTGTAGGGGAAACTCTAGCCAAACATTTCTCCAGAGCTCAGTTTTATTCTCCCACACCTCACTTCCCTCAGTCCTTTATTCTCAAGCTGAGGTGTCTGCTGAGAAAAGCCGCTCCGCGTCTCCCTGGTCTGCTGGGGGGGAGGGGCGCGCTAGCTTCACGTCTCCCTGGTCTGCTGGGGGGAAGCAGCTAGTGCGGGGTTGCCTCACCCCGTTTGTAAGTAGGGATCTGATGTAAGTCAGATCCATGTAACCTGGGGACTGCCTGTATTTCAAATGAATCATTTGAAAGATGGGAAAAGAGCCAAGATGCGTTCAGAGAATTATAGTGTACAGTAATTAAAAGGAATCTCTTCCATAGAGAATTTCTTAGCATGGTTATTCTTTGAAGTAATACTCATGGCATACTATTTGGCATGAGTTCTAGTTTCAGCAAGCCTGCAACACCAAATTACTAAATATCCTAGGCCAGCGTTCTTCACTGCAAGGCCCCCAAGCCAGAGGCAGCTTCCATGGACCCAAAGTGCGATTTCCTGTCAATGACAATCTATGGTGGCACAGTGGGGCTGCTGCTAAGGCAGGCTCCCTGCCTGCTCCTGCGATCCCCAGGGGGGACAGAGAACTGTGGCCAGTGGGAGTTGCGGGGGAGATGCCTGCAGAAAAAGACAGTTCACCAATACACATGCCACCTCCAGGCACTGTGTGGGGCCAGGGCCATCCAAAGTAAGTGCTACGCTCTTCTTCACCCCATATTCCCTCCTGGAGCCAGCACTTCATACCCCCTCCTCTACCCCTAATCCCAGCCCTCTCCCAGAGCCAGCCCCTCATACTCACTCCTGTAACCCAAGCCACTGCCCCAGCTTTGAGCCTGCTCCCAGAGCCAGCATCCTATACTTGCTACTGAACCCGACCCTCAATCCCAGTACAGAGCCCTCTCCTGCACCCAACCTCTCTCCCAGAGCTTATAACCCTCACTCCCTCCTGCACCTTAACTCCCTGCCCAAGACTCAGCCCAGAGCCCCCTGCCACACTGCAAACCCGTTGGCCCCAGCCCAAAGACCACATCCTCTCCCAACCTCCTGCCCCCAGTTTAGTCAAAGTGAGTGAGGGTGGAGGAAGAGTGAGTGAGTGAGGGGAAGGAGTGAGCAAGGCAGGACTTCAAGTAAGGGGCTCCCACACTGAATTTTTTTTGTTTGCCAAAGTTGTCCCCACTTCCAAAATACTGAAGAGCAATGTCCTAGGCTGTACTAATCTATGCTAATATATATTTACAACATGCCATGAAAGCTCCTTTAAATTAGGGATATTAGTGTGTACCCGTGTACATGAGCCTGGGCTCATCGGTTAACCCTCATGGTTACATGCACCACCCCACTACCCATGCTGCTGCCTCTGTCAGAGGCAGCAGGCTGGGATGGGTGTGAGGGGGAGGTGGGAGCTGGTGCGCACTGGCTCCCCACGTGCTGGCTCCTGCGAGACAGCAATGGTTACACGTTTACAAAAATAAATGCATTTTAACATCTCTATTATAAACCATTTTATACGTTTTAGAAAACAGCTTGCAAGGCCAAATAGTGTCCCCTTCCAACTCTGGGCCAGCTACCTCACCATTGTTGCAAAACTACTAATTGCAGCTACAACAAAACAATCCTAAAAAGATACTAAGTCTCCCAAAGAAATCACAGGTAGAGCTGTATAAATAAAATTTTCTTTTACTATGGTCAGCAAACTGAAAACTTCAGTCAGATGAAGTTTTTGTTGAACCCAAAATGAAACAATTTAAAAATAAAAGTAAATTATGAAAGGAAAATCTGAATGAAAAAAAATCAAAATGTTTTGTTTGAAAACATTTAATTTTGATACTTTTTTTATTGTGATTTTTACTCACCTCTTCCCACCAAGAGTTTGGTAAATCTGACATGAATTTGTAATTTTTTGATCAATATCTGATCTAGTCACATGCTTGACATAGCTCCTATTGAACTCAGTGGCAAAACTCACACTGACTTTAATGGCAACAGTATCAGGTCACATATACCTGCTTAACTTCTGGACAGAAAGAATACAAAGCTCTCCTCAGAACTTCATTACTTACTGGATCTTGTTAGCAGTTAAGTGTTGGTCAATGCTACCATAATGCTCATTCACCTTCCATAATGTATGGAAAGCAAGAGCAAAACAACCTGATAAAGTTACACCATTAATCTCATCAGATCAAGTTACACCAACCACTATAATACCGGTTTGATTTTGGGGACGTTTTAGTCAATATTTGCACTGAAGTTAAAAATCTTATACCTTTTTCAAAAGAATATACCATCTTTTATGAACTATTTGAATACATGCCTGAGGTATGTTAATTCCTTTACGTATCTGTTCCTGCTCCCATCGACTGAGTTCTTCATCCTGTTCCCCAGTTACAAGAGCTTCGTCATCACTTCCCTCAATACCTGAGCACACAAGGAAGACAAAAAAGATAAAAATGCATATACTGGATTTATACCACAGATAGTTCATTCCAGATTCCTACAGTTAAATTATGTAACCAATAGTCAGTAAAAACATCTTCTAATGCTTATTATATGCCTATGCAGTACAACCTTGCTTATCTTTCATGACTAGGAAATCCACAGTAAACTCATTTTGTGTGTTAGCTAGGAAATAAAATGAGGCATAAAACACATTTACATTTATTCATTTGACAATTAAAATATACTAAAAGTTCACAAAAATTTAGTAACATTAATAAAAGTTTGTATGAAACTGCAGAAAAGCACTGTGCTATTAAAATTTTGCTCTAAAGCAGAAAGGAGCCATTTTTGTGTGCAAACTGAGCTGTGTTTAACAGCTAGATTCTACTTGACCATAATTCCTTAAGATGCATCATTACAGTGTTATGCCACGGAGTTAAAATAAATGATTCTATGCTGAAGTGCATGTGGATTATGGTAAACCAGAACTCTATTAGTCACGCAGAACATTTTGTTTAAGGCTTGTAAAGGTCAGGGTGAGTAACCTTCAATGAAAAAAGTTTCTATATCTATTACATATGCTACCATCCTTTCAAAAAACATTTCACCTATTTCCTCTGCAATCTTTTGCCTTTGGGATTTTTCCTTCACTGAGAATACTATTCTTCTCTTCTCATCATCATCTTCATCATCACTGGCATCATTTTCATCTTCTCGAACCAGGCGGCCTTTACCCGGCTCATTGTCAATAGGCGTGAAGTCTCCAAGTTCCCGGGCCATTTGACGCTTTTTTCTAGCAGCATGAATAAAAGCAGCATCTGGGATTTCTCCTGGAAATACATGTTTACAAGATTAAACAGCCAACCATTGCACACAAACTCAGAGTAAGACATTTTGCTACCTGTCTACTGCCACACCAACTGATAAAAAGGGTACTGCAGACACATCACCTCTATTTGTTATCAGTTAGAAAAACATATGACTCCAGAAGCACTCTAAGCCTTTACACTGAGGCCTAAGAAAGCTCCCCCCTTCTACTCTTTGAGAAATTAATATAAAAGCCTAGCTGGTGTAACCCCTGCCTGTGGGGAAGGGAGGATTAGAGGGAGGGTGCTCTAGCCCAGCAGCAGGTGTGGGGGGGAAGCACTCCAGCCAGCCCCATCCTTAAATCAGTTAACTGGCTAAACAGTATGTTTAACCGGCTAACCAATTAAAAGGGATTTTACATCCTTAACACAAAATCTTATTTATGGCAGCTCTTTTCCCTTGCTCATGAGTTATTGATAACTAGGGAAGACAAAATTGTACTAATTTTCCAATAAAACAGCAATCCAAGGTTTATCAGCCTAGAATTCCTATTATTTTCACTACAGTAGTGCTAAACAAGTTTGGAACCCCAGAGGTTGAACCCACTTCAACAGGAGGTCCTGTTTTGTTTCCCTCACTGGTATGAAGCAGGATACTCTCTCTCCAGCACAGTTCCCTCTAAGCTGCGAGCTTGCGCGCACACAGAAAAAATTTCTACTCTGCCCACCTCCTAACCAGAGCTGTGCAGCAGCGTGGAAGGAGGCTGGTGATTGCTCTGGTGGCAGGGAGGCGGCTGCACCTGGCTAGGGCCAAGGAGCTGCATGGCACGCAGGCAGGCTGCTACTTCATCAGGCTGGGACCAGAGGAACTACTTGGCAGGACAGACTTCTGCTCCAGCCAGCCGGGGCTGGAGGAACCTCATGGTGGGCAGGCAGCTAGCACTGGGCTTTGGGGCCACAGGCGGGCAGGAGGGTTGCAGCCGCCAGGGGTTATGGCCATAGGTGGTCAGGGGGTTGTGTTGCTACTGCCAGGGGTTGGGGCCACAGGCGGGTTGCGGCTGCCAGGGGATTGGGGTTGAAGAGATTCTTCATTCCCATTATTAAAACAGAAAAGGGAAAGGTACCAAAAAAAATGAAGTGATCAGAGTTGAGAAGAGATTGTGAATATTAAGACCTCTTGCCGTAGTGTATATTCTGAATGAATTGATCACTGCCCAAGAAACCAAGCCATAAGCAAGTCTGGAGCTAAAAATGTACTGTGTCTTTTATTGCAGTCTTGAAGTGTAGGAGGTACTGTGTATAGCGAGCTGGAGGAGAGAAGGTAGGACTATTGCAGTTTGCTTTAATCTGTGCCTACATATGCGGATATATTGCCTGAAGTCACACAGGAAGTTACTGACTACATGCCTCAGTTTCCCTGTCTATAACAGAGACACTGTCCCTCAAAAGTGTCACAGGTGGTTTGGGATGCCTTGTTCATTTAATGTGGGTGAAGTGGCATGAAACTTCCAGCGCAAAGGGGAAACACTTATCTGCTACACTGAGTGCCTAATCTCACCTTAGTAGGTCAAGCTATGGGCTTCCTCCCCATTGCCAAAGCACCAAATGTATATCTACGCCACACCTACCCTCAGCTTCACACCCTCATGCCTGAAGCTGCAAGAAAGGGGAAGCACAAAGCTGCTCCTTTGGCAGAGGAATTCTTTCATGCATGGAGCCCTGAGCCTCTGACTGGTCAGAGCTGATTAATCACCTGAGAAGCTGTGGATGGAAAAAACTTAGAGGGAACACTGCTCCCCAGGAACTGGATCTAATGAAGACCTGGTCTTAATCTTGAGCAAAATGAGAAAAGATCTGGGAGCAGTGGCAGGGCATGGAGAAATCTAGCCACTGAGCTCTAAACTCCATTAAGAAGCTACCCTTTCTCTGGGACCACCTCCGTAGAGGAAACTCTCACATGCACTCAATCTTCCCAGAGCTGAGGGTAGCACAGCAGGGAAACCGGTGTTATCACTGTTTGGGAATGTCTACACTACCCTCCTAGTTCGAATTAGGAGGGCAATGTAGGCATACCGCACTTGCAAATGAAGCCCGGGAAATTCAAATCCCGGGCTTCATTTGCAAGTGCGGTATGCCTACATTGCCCTCCTAATTCGAACTAGGAGGGTAGTGTAGACATTCCCAAACAGTGATAACACCGGTTTCCCTGCTGTGCTACCCTCAGCTCTGGGAAGATTGAGTGCATGTGAGAGTTTCCTCTACGGAGGTGGTCCCAGAGAAAGGGTAGCTTCTTAATGGAGTTTAGAGCTCAGTGGCTAGATTTCTCCATGCCCTGCCACTGCTCCCAGATCTTTTCTCATTTTGCTCAAGATTAAGACCAGGTCTTCATTAGATCCAGGAGGGTGGGTTAACGTATGCAACTCCAGATACGTAAAATACATAGCTAGAGTTGGCTTACCTTAAGATGAGCATGGCACCATCTTCACAATTGGAAGCAGATAGGAGCAAATGCTCCCATCAGCTTCCCTTACTCCTCGTGACTGGCGAGGATACTGGTGTGGACTGGAGCCACCCTCAGCGTTTGATTTAGCAGGTTTTAACTAGACCCGCTAAATCAAACACCAGAAGATCAATATCTGGGGCAGCAAGTGAAGACATGGCCCTTCAGAAAGATTACCATAGAACGTGACACAGTAGGCCAGAGATAGTAAGGAAAGATGGGTGAATAAGGGAAACAAGAAGGCAGACATGACTGAAAACTCGTTATAAGCAGTCACAGTTTCCTGTATATTATGAAGGGAAATTTTTGTTTGGAAAATTCAGCCACCTATTTTCAGTAAACATATTTAAAACATTAATTCCAGTTCTCAATATTATAGATTAAGATATTCCTCTCACTTAAATAAGAATATGCTAGAACCAGTAATGTGTTTAGATATGAAGTTATCTTAAGTGTATCCACTGTATTAGTTTGCTATTTTCTTCTAAAAACAAAGCAAGTTAATTTGGTATGTTGACTGGAGAAATTTTTTTCTAACAGGTATAAGTATCAAAGATTTTTTCCCTCTACTTCATATCTATGCCTGCAGGATCCAAGGTTGTTTGTGGTTTATGAGCATGCAGGCAACAACCTTATTCCCCAGACAAAAAGTTTCCTTAAATGCAAGTTTAATAGTTATTAAATTCATGAAGAATAATATTTCAAACTAATTTCTTTGGTCCCTAGGGTCTCAAGAAAATTTGATTAAATAGAATAAAAAATATTAATAGTATTCAAGACACTCAAATAGGGGATCAAAAGAGTAAGAACATTTTCTGGTGCCTATTAAAAATTATGCCAATCTGCACCCTAAGGTTACTTAGAGAATTACTGGATTAAAAATAGAGATCGATATTCCAGAGTTTTAGAAAAACCAAATGCTTTATCTAGAAGGGATGTTTATTTAGTTTTTTAAAGTCTACAGTATACAGTTTAAACTATGCTTCATTTTGATTTATTTTGAAATATTATCCCCTGAACATGGATCTTGAAGGAATTCATATATATATGCCTAACTTACAAAAATACCCAAAAGCTTCAGAGGGTAGCTGAGTTAGTCTATATAGGATAAACTTTAAAGACTAACAAAACAGACTATTTGTTGTTTTTTAAGTGCTAGCAAACTATTTGTTGTTTTTTAAAAATATTTTGTTATCCTTTGTTCTCAACATCCAACATAAAACTTGCTATTTAATTTTGTAGTATTAGAGTACTATTTTAGGTCTTAAATGAATGAGTTCAGTATTCACAGTTCTTCAAAAACAGTGTGCAATTATATTCTTCCACTGGGCCAAAAGTATATGGATGAACTTTGGAAAGTGGACACTTCCATTCCAGTTTTCATTTCTAGTTTCTATTTGAGGGTCTGAAAAGTACTGAGTTTGGGAAGAATGCATACAGTTGACATTCCAAGTGTTAGAGACAACATTTCTAAACCCATTAAATTAAATTTACTATAAAGTTCAAACCTGGACGGAGAACATTCAGAGATGACAGAGCACTTGAAAAAGCTCCCCCAGTTTTAGGTTTTTCTTCTTCCTTTTCACTTTCAACTTCCATCTCTTCTTCACCTTGTTCACTGTTTGCAGTCCCATCTTCTTGGTTTGCATCCTTCACCTGTCCTGTTTTTTCTATGGGCTGTTCAACTTTGAGAGAGAAGCATATACTTCAGTTTCCTTTTGTGATAAAAATTTAAAGCACACTTTTAAAGAATACCACCAGATATGCATTCCTTACCTTTAAGCCAGCAATCTAAAGCAAGGTACAGACAATTACAATAATTTTTAACTATTGATCTTACATCCTATGTTTTAGTTTCAATAAAAAAAACTAGGGATTCGTGATGTTAAGTTTCAATTAATCAGCTAATCAATTGATAAGGGGGCACTCACTATCCTGCTGAGCCTCTCCCTTTGAAATGCACAAGAGACAAGGGGGGCTCCTGTACATTTCAAAGGGAGAGAGGCAAAGGGGACCTGTGCCAGCAGGGACCAAAGCAGTCCCCGCTGGCGAAGGTTCCCCTCTGTGCCTGTTCCTTTGAAATATACAAGAGCTGCCTGTGGCTCTTGTATTTTTCAAAGGGAGAGGAGCAGCAGTCGGACAGGAACAGGCAGGAGTGGGACTGTTTCAATCCCCACTTGGGCCGTTTTCCCACTGCCCTCTGCTCCCTGTGCAGACGGTGTTGGGGGGAAGGAAGAACTGGCTTTTAAGCCAGCTCCCTCTAGCACTTGTTCATGCTCCGCACCCTTGCTGCCTCTCTCTGATAGAAGCAGCAAGGCAGGAAAGGGGGGTGGAATCGACTAGTTGAGTTTCTACTTGACTACCCAATAAGCATTTTCCTATCAGGTAGTCAACTAGTCATTTACATCCCTACTAGGGATATAAATGGTTAACTGGTGAGCATCACTCTTAATGGCTGATGCTTACTGGTTCCAGTTAAGCAGTGGGGGCTGAAGCAGCTCCTTGCCTACCATGGGCAGGGGGCTGCTCCAGCTCCACAGGGTCAGCTACAGACAGAGGCCGCTTTGGACTCTGGAGCAGACCCTGTGGTGTTCCCAGTAGAGGGGGAGGCAGAAGCAGGGAATGCTCCAGCCCCCTTAGATACCAGGTACATGTGAAGTAACTTTCCATTTAACTGGTAAACCAATCACACGGCTGTAGATAACCCTGAATAGAAGGAGGATATCCGTGGATTTGCAGGGCTCTACGGGCATGTCTAGACTACATGGCTCCGTCGACAGAGCCATGTAGATTTGTTTACTCAAAGGGAAATGAAGCGGCAATTTAAATAATCGTCGCTTCATTTAAATTAAAATGGCTGCTGTGTTGTTCCGATCAGCTGTTTGGCAGCACAGTGCTGTTTGGCGGCACAGTATGGACGCTCTGCGGTCGACATCAAAGGCATTTGTCGACCTCCCCAGTAAACCTCATCCCACGAGGCATAACAGGGCGGGAGACAAATGCCTTTGTCAACCGTGGAGCGTCCAGACTACAGCGCTGTGCCGCCAAACAGCCGATCGGCGCAGCCATTTTAATTTAAATCGCAGTTTCATTTCCCTTTGTCTACAACCCTAATCCACATGGCTCCGTCGTACCCTAATTGTAAAATCACAAACATGCATTCATCTTCTCAACACTTCTGTGAGGTAGAGTAATATTACTTCTATTCCACAACAGGCACAGAGGCACTGTCAGAAATACATACTCGTTTGGGTGCCCAAATGGGAGATGCCTATAGCCTGAATTTCAGAGAATTTAACATTTCATAGCTCTTTATTTCTTCAGAGCATTGACTTCAGTTGCAGTTGAGTGCACTCAGTATTTCTGCAAATCCAACCCCAACTTCACAAGATGGGCACCAAAAAAAGTGAACACACAATGACCATCCGTGAAAAACTTTGGTTTAGTTGTCCTGCCTCAACACCACATAGCTACTCTGTGGCAAAGGCTGGAATAAAATCCAGTTCTTCACAGTTCCATTCAACAGAGTACACTACAAAATAGGGATGTTAATAAATGTTTATTTTTGTAAACGCATAACCACTAAATTTTTTAGCAGTTATACATTTACATGTGGGGGGGGGGGAGGGGGAACACAGAGGCAGTAGGGGCAGCAGCTCCACAGAAGCCAGTATGCAAGGGGAGCCAACTTAAAAGCTGGCTCCCGCCTCTCCCTCCTCCCGCTGCCCGATACAGAGGTAGAGAAGGGGGGAGGGGAATGTGTAATTGTGCAGGTTAACCAATGAGTCCAGGGAGGTTAACCTGCACCCATCAAGAAAAAAAAAAATCTTTTTTCTTCCTGTAGTTCCCCCCCTTATTCACTACATCCACCTCAAGATGAGCGGATAGAGGCCTGTCCAAGGTCCTGTAAAGAATATACCCTGCTACATTGTCTGCCATTAATTAGGCAGGAGTCCCAAAGACAACAGACTTATTAGCTATACAAACATGATTGACTCCCTAAGCAAGTTGTGTGCACTAAGTAAGGCAGAGATTCCAAGGGGAAGACAGAGAGGGGATGATCACGTAATTAAAAACTATCATTACTACACACACAGGGGCCAAATGAAGGTTGCTCACGCAACTGTCATTCTAGCATTGACTCATTTTTGAGTGCTTGACTTAAAAAAAAATCTCATTAAGGGAATATTTATAAACATGTATCTTCCTAGGGTTTTTGAAAAAATAGAAATTCTACCATATTAAACCATGCCAAGTCTTACATGATACATAAACAGAGCACAAACTTTCACATCATAGATCTCTCTCATCTAAGCTAACAGTAACTGATAAGCATAGTAGCTTGCCATCCTCTATATGGGCCAGCTATTATAGGGAAATGAAGCATACACTTTGCCAGCAAGCCTCAGTTATTAGCTGACAACAGGAATGCTGAAACTCAATAAACCTAGGTTCTATTCAAGCTTCTAAGGAGTGTGCACTCTAAAGATTAGAAAGCTGATTAACCTGCTGGAGGAAGGATTGGACATCTCAATGTGCCTTACCTCCCCATGCTCATTGTTCAGATCCTTGTTTTGGAACACACTATGGATGTTAAAATGTGGGTAATTGTGTCAACATGTAACCACTGAAAACTCATGCATGCATCCACAGCCAGGTCCTCATGCGTACTGGTTTCTGCCTGCCACCACACGCTGCTGCCTCTGTATCAGAGGCAGCAGTGCGAAGTGGCAGCTGGATATGGGGCACGAGTCTGCATATAACCATGAAAATTAATCGACAAGCCCAGGCTTATCGGTTAACCATTTACATGATTATATGGTCACATCCCTAGAACACACAGTTGTAGGTCACTTCTGATATAGGCTCTTAATATACGGAACTCCACTCTGCCAATCCTGCAATAATTTTTCCTTCATTTTAATGCTCTCAGCACTCAAGTCGAGAGGACACATCCTAGCAGAGCAATGCTAGATCCAAGCTCTAGCTGTCAGAAAGCAGAAGTACAGCATTATTTAAAGACATGAGCATAGGCTTGGAAATTAAAAAAAACTTCTGAGTTTTAATCCTAGCTCTAATAAGGATTCACTGTGGAGCTTTCTTGTAAGGGTCCTCACCTCTCCACATTGATAAAAAGGGGATACATTTCACTTATGCCAAAAGGGTGTTCATGAAGGTTAATAAGATGCTTATACAGACTGTTCTGAATATATAAAGCACTCAAGGTTTTAAACTGCTCAGTCTCCCTACAGAATTGACAATGCATCTCTAATACAAGTCATTTTTATGAACAGTATTTAATCTCTCAGTTAATGTTACTAATAGCTTTGCAATTACCATCTGATGGAGAATTGACTTCTGTTTTAACCTTTGATTTTTCAAGATCTTCTTTGTACTCTTTCTTCAGTAGCTTTACTATCTTTTTGCTGTAACTTGATTTTTTCACTTTAAAAACTTCTTCGGTTTCTTTAAGACAAATCAAAAAACATTTAGTGACTTGAGAACAAACTGGTCAGCTACAATTCACAAAAATATTTACCATCTGTCAAGCCTTTTCACATGGTGCACAGCACAACCGCATATTAGTTACAAACAAAAGAATCCCACACATCTAAATTCCAAAATGTAACATACAAGACCTATAAAAGTTTTGATAAGTAGGCACTGCAGCAGCATATGTTTTCAGTAGAGATGTTAGATATCGTATAATTGAATAGTTGTGTAACAGCATAAAATATTATTGGTTAAACCATTCACTGGTCCCAGGATGCGGGACTGGCAGCCAGAGAGGCACCTGCATGGGTGGCAGCAGCCCCTGTCCGTGGGAGGTCCAAGCACCTGCTTGTGGGGGGTTTGAGGCGGCAGCAGCAGCAGAGGTAAGTGCAGAGCTGGTGCTGCAGGGAACCAGTTTTTAAGCCATCTCCCCTCAGCACCAGCTCCATCCTAAACCCCCGCTCCCCCCCCCCCCGCTGTCACTGTAGGAGGCAGCAAGGGGAAGCAGGGGGCGTCCATGGGAGCTAGCTTCAAAGCTGGCTTGCCATGCCTATTTACTTCTGCTTGCCCCCCTTACCCTCTGCACTGTTGTGTCTCTATCAGCAGAGGAGGGCAGGTAGGCTGATCTGGTGCTTGTGGGGAGCCTACTTAAAGCCAACTCCTCATGGGCACCGGCTCCCGCTCCCCCCTCCTTGCAGCCTCAGATACAGATGCAACAGGCATGTGGGTGAACTGAATTAACCAGTAAGCCCAGGCTTATCAGTTAATTGTTTATTTGCTAACAACCCTAGTTATAATTTTATCATAAGCCTTGTGATAATAAGTGTTCTTCTTGAAGTCCAAGCCCCTAAAATCACATCAATACATGATAATTTCATCTTTTATTAAGAAAACATTCCTTGCACTCTTGGTTGCAGAGTAAAACATAAAAATAAGCCCGCCATTGCATCTTACGGGCTCCAAATCAGAAGGCAAATAAGAAAACCATGAAGCGCACTTTTAATATAAACGTTAAAACAAAAATTGAAGACACCTTATCACTCATTTTATATCTTAAACAACATACGGTGAATCGCTATGACAGCCCCCTTTAAGCGCTAGCTTTCCTTTACACCCGGTCTTTATTGGCGAAAATGTTCAACATTTTGCCTCAACATAAACCGCAGTAGGTAAAGTTCATTGTCACACGTGCCCAGCCTCAGCGCAGCACCCCCAGGGCCCCGCTGGGGGGGGAAAAACCAGGGCCTGTATCGGTAAAGAGAGGCGGGGGGAGTTGACCTAGCAGCCCGACAGGCCGTCTCCCCGCCCAGCTCAACCCGATTCGCCTGCAGGGCCAGGCCCGGGGCACAGGCCCGCATGCGGCCGGGA